GAGGGTGACACCAATTACTATAAAAAGTATTCTCCCTAGTGGCCCTCTAAAAACAAAATTGATAATAATAAATTACAACAATCATGATAAAAAACCTATTTACAAATAGTAATTATAATAAAGGATCTTATAAATTCTAAACATGTATTCTCCCTCCCGAGTGGCCCTCTAAAAACAAAATTGATAACAATAAAATTACAACAATCATGATAAAAACCCTATTTACAAATAGTGATTATTATAAAAGGTTCTTAAAAACTCTAGAGATTTAAAAAATTGAGAGATGTAAAAACGGAAGTGAATACATTGGTAAAAAAGGGAATCCAATCTACAATGTTAGTTAGGGAGATCTAACTATCATTCCATTCTATCACTGTCCAGGTCTTGGGCTTGAATATAAAGATCGATACCCAGTTGAGTGGACTGTGTTAGAGGGTCGACAACATCCAACACATAGCACTCTATTGAATGCCTTTTATCTAAAGAAATTGGTTCGACAACAACGTTGTTATCTTCTTTTGAAGGAGAGGGGCCCTCTGGGTCATACCCATAAAATTGTGGTAGGAGACACGGCTGCTCTGGCTAAACGTTGCTGCAGGGCCGATAAGACATCACTGAACGCTGATGAGAGATTATCTAAGGTTTCTTTGTCATAGGCGTTAATATTCGAACTGCTGTCTCGGGGTACAGCCGAGTATACGAAGCAAACGCACCGTTTGATCGACAACGACAATATGCTGCTCCACAATTTCCTCATCCGCTTTCGTCTGGGAAATCTGGCCAGTTCTTTGAAGAACCGAGTCAAGAAACCTTGGAAAGTCAGACTCCACATCGAAGTGGAGCCTTGTCAGGGGCACCCAACGAGAATATAGTTCAAAACCACTTAAACATAGCATTGTGAAACCTATTTTAGTATTCAAACGGTAGATATAGGCATATTTTTATCCCCTAAAAATTTTTTATCTGTTCGGATTTCCTAGCTGAAAGTCTAGTGATCCGAAAATTCTAGGGATCAAAACTTATCTTTTCGAAAATTTCAGCCAGAAAAAAGGCCCCCGAAAATTCTAGGTGACCTTTTAAGGGTAAAAATCCGTTAAAAATAGGCAATTATACCATCTTTTAGATGTTCGAAAATCCTAGGAGAGGCAGGCAACCAAGAAATTTTACAACAAATGTTTCGAAAATTCTAGATCTCAATTCTTCTTCCGAACAGATATTCTTCCGAAAATTGTCGTTGGGTGCCCCTGCCTTGTGTCATCTTCATAAGCTTCTATTTCCGTAGCCTGCATTCTGGCCGCCGCCGCCGCCGCCATGTTTTTAACAAGCAACAAGACGCTACGGAGCGTACACTTCGGCGTCGTGGTTGTGGAACTGATTAATTGTAAATGCGGAGAAATAGTAAGAAATTAAATATGGTAAGAGTAAGGTGTTAATTTGTGTAATTATGGAATTTGTCAGGATATTCGGAAAAGAGTAACATCCAAGAGGCCTACTTGCCAAAAACTAGCATTTCGGGACAAATTGTCTCTGAGATATTAGCCCAGTTATGTTCTGATGACTTCATACAAATCCTTCTAAATTTGACTTTGGTCTAAACGTTTAGACCTAAGTCAAATATGAGGCTACTGGCGGTGAATAACAAGTCTAACAAAACAAACAGTGAAAAAAAGAATCCTCTATTTTTCTTAGTCACATCAGGCTTCAAAAACAGCATAGCAGTCTCCATGTACTGAGATATGTAAGGCATGGGTAAGGAGTCAATTACGTTGAGCATGGAATTGGCTAAAACCCAATGTTACGAGTTCGAATGTTTTGACGATAATTATTCACTGACTATCAGCACGCAGGGACGTCGGATTAACACAAGGATGTTTGATACCAGAGGAACATAGCCTCTGCAGAGCTTTAAAACACAGCATCCGCCAACACAAAAATTTGAACTTAAGGAAAACTAAACAGCCTCTGCCAATGATAACAAACTCTCACTTGAACTCCAGATATCTTACGGCTTCCGTCAACTTGTAAACACAGAATTTGAAAATCGACCTTCGTCAGACTTGACTAAACACAGCAGTCTAGCTCGTGGGAAAAAACTTAAAGGAAACTTGGAACTTGGAACTTGGAGTTTATATACCGTTTGACATGAGGTTCCAGAAAATACTAAACAGGCGAATAGTAGTAGCTTTTTGACATATTTTATAATTTCAGTAATTATTCATTAATTATTCATGGATAATCCAAAAACGTAGAGAACGTTCGAGAAAGTCACGCAACGCATGTCAGCAATTTTACTACGTAACACTCAACAAAGACAAAATGTCTTTGTGCAGCATCTTGTAACTTTAAATTCATCGTAAAACAGTTCGAAAGGAGGGCTCACTCGTGAAATGTTTTCCAACACTCGAGGAGAAATTTCGTGTCTCTACGCGGCCACGTAATATCCTATATTTATTCCTCGAGTAAATTAAAGACGAAACTGGAAGTGATCTCAAGATATCCCGAAGTAGTCCGGTCTCATTTCGTGAAACAGCCGAAACAAGCCGACAAGTCACGAACTTGCACGCCCAATCTTGTCCCGAAACTAGTGCATTGTTCCATAACTATTTTTCATAGCCCGAACTACCTTGGGTCGCAGTAGCGCAATCGGCTAATCGCTCAACTTAGAGTCTTCTATAATCTGACGGGTCACACAGGTGAGTCGGTTCAAACCCCGGAAAGTCAAAATAATAATTTTCTTCCTCAAAAAAGTTAAAGAATAAATCAAAGAAATCGAAGTGATCTCAATATATCTCGAACTAATTTGGCTCTCACTTCGTCAAATAGCCAAATAATACCGAAAACCTACAGCCTTTGCGTGCCCAATCTTGTCAAAAAAAGTCAACTTTGATACATTCCTGAGGGTCGCGAATCCTTTACTTCGCGCTCCGCCGAAGTAATGGTCGAAGTAATGATCTGTCACTGACCAGAAGTAGCGAGGGCTCAAAAGAGTTGAATGAATAGTTTAATGTTGAATTAAAGTTGAATGCTGAATAAATGATTGCAATTGTTGAATAGATAATTGAATGGGTGAATAAGGAATTGAATATAAAATGAATAGTTGAATGTTGAATGCGAAGTTGAATATTGAATAACGCTTTGAATGTTGAATATAAGTTGAATATTAAACGCATAGTTGAATACATAATAAAAAACTACATATAAAATTAAACGAATTGAATATTGCTACATTTGGCTTGCCATAGTATATGCAACACATAGCTTCGTATAGCTGCTAAGAACCGCCGAAGAGTTGAGCTATCGAGCAGTGTTTTGCTGCAAACCTTAGGAAAGTTAAAGTCGCTTCAAAGTACAGAGCTTTCAGTAGTAGTTGTGATTTGTTTCTTGGGATCGTTTTGAATTTTAACTTTCGATTCAAGGTGTTGGCTGATTGAAATAAACGAAGTGAAATGTTTTGAAGTGTTAATTTTTATTCAATTATGATATGTAGAGCAGTAAGCTCATATTTATAAAGCTCACTTGAATATACTTGCTTCCGATAAATTTGACACTTGCTCCAGTAATTTGTATCAGCATCAAGTTATCCTTGCCCGGCAAAAACGATGCAACCTATAAATAAATCCATCGAGCACGTTGTTGTTGGTTAAGATCTAACACGGTTGCGTTTTAGTTTCCCCTGCATTTCAGTACCGAAAGACAAATACGATGTGCAAGAAAAACAAAGATGCATGATATGATTTTTTCCATTTTTTAAGCATTTCTGATTTCCTCTACCGGTTCCCTTCTTGCTTCTAGAAATATTTACTGTGGGAAAAATACTGTAATTATCCGCTGACCACCACGCTGGGTGACCGCTTTGCAAGTTGTGAGAACATCGTTTCTCGGTCCCAGACCTCGTCTCTTCCCTCCAGCTGCGTGTTTGCAAACTTCAAATGGGTTTTTCTATTCCGTCAATCATTTGAGTGGGGGTGGAGTTAATGCAAATCACAATGAAACGCACTCGCCCAGCCTGGCACGCAAAAACAAAATTGAGAATGACCCTAAACGTCCCAAGAATAGCGAAGGAAATCGCAATGATGAGTGGAATTTTTGTTAAGGGCAGGAGGCAGACATTGCTTTATTCTTGCAAGAGACAAGAATAAGAAAGGTCATAAAAAGCTTCGAAGAGAACTAGTTAATCATTGCCCGAAACAGTGCGAAACAGGGTGATCACAAGCAGAAAACCTTGAAACACAGAAACAAAGTGGATCGAAATGCACCAATCACAAGTAAACATGTGTTTCCTAAGAGGTCCGCTAAGATGATTGACGGAACAGAAAAGCCCAAAATTCCTTCGAAGTTTGCAAAACGCGTAAAAGGGCGCTTAATCGAATAAATTAAGTGAATACAAGAGCTAGGGCTGCGTAGGCAAAGAAAGGAACTTCCGGTTAGCAGAGTTAAAGTGGCTGGTCCTCCTTACAGCAATATGGGACAGAGGATTCTATAATAAGCTGCCTTAACAATAAACACAAGGCTATTTTTTCCAGGATTAGCTAGGATTTTGCTAAAGATTAAGGTTGAGAGTGATGAGAGCACAACTTAGAACTATCCATCGCAACTTCATGACGCGTATTTTTTCCTATCAAACTAAAGCTTCAGGAAGAATCAAAAAGGCTCACCAGACCTCGGAGTCTTCATATCGATAGGTGAGCCAACTGAGTGAGGACCTTCAGTTCGATTCTGCGTCAACCCAAACGCCCTCAACTTGGTGCTTAAAAAGGTTCTCCATTCCTATCACTGATGGTGTATTTTTTCAGTGTTAAGAAAGGCAAAACATTCAGAACAATGGATGCTAGAAATGGGTACTGGCAGATTGCTTTAATAGAATAGTGAAAATCGTTGTTTCTTACTTGCTAGCAGAGTTCACCATAATATACTAATAAGATCATATTCCGTTAATTAGTTTCTTGTTTAGAAATGTTCGCGCATTGGTCTGACTTAAAGTGACGAAATGCACAAATAAACCGGTATGACATAAAACGGCAAATCCTATTTTCGTCCTTTAATGAAACCACAAACTTTACAATAAAACATGTTTTACACTTGCTTGTTTGTTTTTATGGTAGCCTGTTGCGACAATATCCAAATTTCCTTAGAAATTGCCGTTATTTTTTGGAAGCTCAATGTACATGTCACCAAAAAACTCGTTCAGAGAGTGGTGACCATCAGCCAGCAACACAAGTTAAATGACTGATCACTCTCAGGACACTGCATGGTAGAGGATGGTGGTAACTCAGATATTACTTGATAATAACATGAACATCATTATGACAGAAACTTTCCCTTTGATGAAAACCAGTTTTGCTTTTTCAAGGGTGCATGAAATTTGTTTCTCTTTTTTTCAGTGCACACTGTGTTTATTGTTATTTGGTAGTGACGCCATCTTCTATTTTCCAATGTCTACTGTCAACAGCAAGGCTGAGTAAATGAGGAGAGACCTATGAAAACACAGCATCAAAATCGACAAAATTAATATGCAGGGACTGTACAATACTATGCCTTAAATGTATGTTCAAATAGGCGGTCCATTCAGTTAACCAAAAACGTTCGCTTTTAATTCATATATACCGAAATGGTCTGAAAACAGTCATCCGGGGTAGGCAGACAGCAAGAAACTGCACTTTAGCAACTGTGTTTGCAGTTTTACCTGACTGAGCTCAAAGTTTGTAGAAAGACAATATTCTGAACTCACATAATCGGTATGTTTTTTTTCTTCAATTCTAGTGGAAAAAAAATCACATTTCACGAGACAAGCCTGTGTACAGCCACTCTCACCTTAGAAAAAAACACGAAAAGATTAAGTCAAACGTGTGACATATACAGTATTTGAAAATCCCAATTCGTTAAGAAATTATTCAGCCATGATTCTTTAATTTCCCACCACATTTTGTTGCTCTACATGATTGCTGTGTCTTTTTTATAGCACTTGTCTGGCGTGAGTATGGCGTGCTAGTAGTTAAGAGGGTAGTTTGAGGATCAATTTCCCAGAGTTCATTTTCCCATTTTGAAGTGAGAAAATGTATGGGAAAAGTAGAATGGGTTAATGAATTCAAAATGGTGGCAATAGGGAGAGAATGAGAAACAGGAGAAAATAGAGATTTATAATAATCATAACAATAATAACATCGTAAGTGGACGGAGCTTTTTTGTGTGTTGGGTGTGTCTACACTGTAAAAAGGCGCATGGCGCTGTCATGTGTGCAGAAAACTTTCTTGAATGTAAGTTCATATTATGCATTGATAGTTCTGAGCCTCGTTGTTCGAACGCCGGTTAGCGCTAACCCAGGGTTAAACTTTAACCCGGGCTTCTATTTCTTTTCTTCAAAGGCACTCTCTCGGATAATTTTCTATATTTTTTTAGAGTATCCAATCATCAAATTGTAGGCAAAGAGAATTAAACTGAATTTGCTTTTTAAGCTCTCATATATCTCTCATATCTGAGTTCAAATTTCGCACTTAGCCTGTGTTATCTTGAACCACTTTCGAACAACCGGGCCGAGATAGCAACTCATTGTGACTATGTCCAATTTATCACAGTCCACTCAAACATTCTTTAGTGCACCAATGGCGTACGAAGTAGATTACACTAACAATTTACCGCGGACAGAAGAGAAGAAGATGGATACAATGTGGTTGAACCTACTCAATGCTCAAGCCAATTATTGTCTGGGGCTTTTGGCACACGTCCAAACTTCAATATGTGCAAGTCAAAGAGTAAAAGCAAGTATCATGATTCACCTTGGACACGTCATGGCTGATGTTCGCAAAGGTTTAATACGATGAGTTTCTTGAAATATGTACAAACCTTTCCGAAGCCCCGTTTACCGTTCCGCCTGGTTTTGCCAAGATCAACTATAAATTTACCGACGAACAACTTAAAAATTGTCAAGCTCGTATAGATGGTTTTCACAGTGACGTCATCAAATGGTACAGTCAAAATAGAGAGGTTTTACGAATTCTTATTAACACTAGGTTGAAGATAAACAAAAAATAAATCTTTGTACAAGTTTCCAGTTCTGTAGCATGTTTCATTTCGAAAATACAGCAATTTGAACTTCCGAGTTTTCACAGTGCGTGACACCAAAATAGGAATGCTGTCTCGTTGAAAAAAAGTCTCTCCTCTTGATTTTCAGCAGTATAACCATTTCAAGTATTAGAAGATATGTTTATATGCGCGTATGCTAGTTCTCGAGTGAAAAGAAAGAGCTTTTCTAGAAAAGTGAACTTCAGATGTTTTTGTTGATTTCCGGGGGCCATATTGGTGCACCAAAACGGTGCACCACTATGGCGTCTCTATACAAAGCTCTACAAAGGTGCGTGAAACGTTTCGGCAAAAAACTCAAAAACTGTGAGCCACAAAGACCTGAGACTTGGACAAATCGTCTATAAATTAGTCTTTTACAACATTCATCTTCTTGGCTTCTTCCACTGGACGGTTTCCAATTTGATCTATTAAACTAGAAACGCTCCAACAGCTTGAAGACGCAAATACAGAGTGGCTCAAGTATTTGGACGGTGAGATACCAAAATGCAAAAAGAAAACAGAGAAGGATCCAGAGAAAGTGTTGGAAGAACCAGCACCAGTACAACCTCAGAAGAAAACACGATCTGTCTTTCTTATTCTTCTTCCATCTTCAGTAAAAAGAAAACTTCATCAAGCATGTGGTCCATCTTTGATTCTCCCCTCTCTTTTAACCAATGTTTCATTCCTTTCTAATTGGCATATATTTCTGCTCTACTTGGCAATCTTATACCCTGATGGTAAATAATTGACCCGAAAGGTATTCAAAAAAGTCCATAAATATTTTTTTCCAGCCATCCTTTAATACCAGCGTTTTAGTTTGTTGCTACACCCGACTTTATTTAACGGTTGAACTTTTATTACGTTTTGTTTACATTTGAAGTGTTTAATGCTCCGCCTATTTATGGTGCACAGTAATTACACTACTTTAAATTTCAAAATAAGCTCCACCTTTTTACGATGTGTATTTTTATTATGATAATAATAATGATAATTACTAGTATTACAATTATTTCCTTTATTTCTCATTCTTCCTATTACATTGTGAATTCCTTAACCCATTTTACTTTTTCCCATACATTTTCTCACTTTTAGAAGGGAAAATGAACTCTGGGAAATTGACCCTTTAAGTACCCCTTAACTACTCTTGCTTATAGACCTTTTCACAGTTTTTTTCAACTTTTGACATGGACAAGTTTGGGAAATCCGTCCACACCACTGAAAAGAGCGCCTTAAGATTAGAAAGTTTGAAACGAAGGTATAGCTCCTCAAAGTCGCGAAATTTTGCAAACGTTTGTATGGTGGTTGTCGTGACAAACTTGCCCCCCCCCCCCCACCATACAAACGTCTGTACATTTTCTCAACTTTGCGGGCCTATATCTTCTCTTGCTTAAGACGCATCACCTACAAATTTGGCAGTTTTACTAATATTAAGGCGCTCTTTCCAGTTGCGTCGACGGATATTCCCAATTTGTCCATGTCAAAAGTTGAAAAAACCGTGAAAAGGTCTACTGAGCTTAACGGTAGACTTCATGTTTGTAACATTTTCATACCTGAATTACGGTAATTGCACACTGTCTATCCTGATAATAACTAAACAGTGTCATGGCACTCCAAAGTTTTACCAGCCCCCTAAAATGAAAGAAACAATGTGACATATACTGTTATATTAACATGTTCAATCAAACAGAGTTTACCAAATTACAAATACTTGTATACCCCTATCAAATTAGTCAAATTTTGGCAATATACTTCTTAAAAAACCAACAGTGGATTCAAGCTTTGGAGATGAACAGACACCAGCAAATATCCTGCAGGTATCTGCTTCTACCTTCACCGTATACTGCAAGTTTAACAAGAGATATCGTTTATTAATGATAATTAATTAACTAGTAAAGCAGGGGCAGATCCAGGAATTTTTTTACTGGGGGGTCCAATCTTTGATTCAGAAAACACTGCATGTTGAAACATTGTTTGTGGTAGCCTTCATAGCTGGCGGTTTTTTGGTGTTCTTTTGTGGTTAGCAAAGTAAGGGGCGCGAATGCTCAACCGAGGACGAAACAGAAAACGATGGGGGAGGAGGCAAGGAGAGAAGGCAGTGAGAAAAACCGCCTGCAATCAACCTCTTGAGATTTTTGAAATGCTCCTTCCACTCTTGTGAAAGGAGGAGTTTGGCTTACGTGCGATGTGACATGTATTCTTAGTTTGCAACCACGTGGCAAGGCGGCATGTTGGGGGTCAAAACAATAGAATTTTTTCGCACAGAATTTACATGAAAATAGAGGACAGAAATGCTTTTGTCCTTGACCACCAACATGGCCGCATGTGACGTCACGTGCAAACCAGCAATTAAAGTCTGACGTCAGCAGACAAACTGTCGCACCAAAGGGTTGTTGTTAATGACCGTCTAACCCATTCGCCCCCCTGTAAATTTTGCTGAAAAACGCGTTTTGAAGCTAGTCCAGCGGTTTTCTGGTCACTGTCGTGCTATAAAGTGCTAAAACCAGGGCGGATAAAGGTTGGGCGGTGAAACGAGCGCGTCCGAGCAAAAAGGTGTGATGCAGTGGACTGGGACTCTGCTTAGAAATGTCGCTTGTTGCTTGTTTTCGATTTCGGTCAGGGCTTGCGATGTGGTTTGTCCATTAGACACTGCCGCTATCACTGAATTATGGCGGCTTGATTTTTTTTCTTGCACTTCTTCTTCGTTCCTTTGTGCTGGTACGCTGTCTCCGAGAGGCAAATGTTGCTATTTTTGCGGAAGAGTTAATTGGAGTAGACAAACATCTCTTTCAAAGGGTTTCTCTTATTACTTTCATGACTCTACCACTGAATTATATTTTCGTTCTACTACTCGCCAGTGTCAATGTTATTCCAAAACAAAATCAACTAAGTACTGTCTAAAACAGGAAGGAAAATCTCATCCTTGTCATCCACGGCAAAACTAAAAGACAGCAGATCGTGTTCATAGGCGTACGGGCCGGGGGGGGGGGGGCTGCAGCCCCCCCAAATTTTGGGCAACTCAGATTTTTTGGGCAGCTAGAGAAAATTTGGGCAAAGCCAGTTTTTAAAGACGTTTCCATGTTTTTTATTAGTCTAAAGAGACAAATATTTTCTACTTTGATCTGAAAAAATCCTGAAGTCAGCGTAATAATCCAGTTACTTTCTCTCGAGACACTCACAGTAGTTTCCTAGCACGTGATGAATTTCTGGTTATAGGGAAGGGTATCATTTGTTGATTTACATATCTATAGTTTTTTATTTTTGAGCACTGTACTGCACTGCACTGACTGGAATGGGCTTTTTCCAGTCGTGAATTGATTAGAATAAACTTCCGCATATCTTTCAAGAATCATCTCCGCTCGTAGAACAGTGTATGGCAGATAGCATCAGCAACAGTGGGTCTGAAAATGAAGAAGTGGCTGACTAGTACTCAGCTCGAATTACGAGAAGAATATTAAATTTGTTTAAAAATCTATCAAGCAATAATTTATTAAAGTAGACCGAAATGTTTACCAAACCGCCAACAAGAGCGCCTCGATACATACTAATGAAATCCTTGTCTCTAGCAATCGGCCGGAGCTATCTCCATGATCATATCTTTTACACACGTTTTTAAAAAGATTGAAGCTACTATGAGGTGAAATTGCATGTCAAAAAAGCTTCGTTTTCTACAAATAACGGCCAAACATCAAGATTTTTTTTTACCATATTTATAACGATAAAAACTTCATCCTTCATCCAAAATATCCCAATAACACTCCTCTAGATTCCGTTTTAACTTCACGAACATGGAGGCGACCATTGGAGAAAAAAGCTCCCGTGAACATTTTTGTAGGAACAGTTCCCAGTGCCGAGAAATATTGCTGCAAGTAAAATAGACAACGTCATTTCGTTGCGATGACAATTCTGATGTCATTAAAACCCTGCTCATGACAAATTTTCATCTTTATCTAATAAAACTATGGTAGCAATTTTTCCAAATGTTTGTCTATGACGACGTAGTTATTCTCAAAATTGGGAGGCATTGACCCTGAAAAACTGTCATAGTATCGAGCCACCTTCGTATGTCAGTACGGCCTAAATTATTGCATCGTATGGCCCTCGTTTCTTTTCTACTGTTTCGTAAAAATTTGGGCAACTTGCGAGAATTTTTTGGGCAAATGGTTTACCGCCCCCTCTGGCAAAAAATTGCCCATACGCCTATGATCGTGTTTCACAACTAGATGACGTGTGTTTTATAAATGCGTGCAGCTCGTGCAAGGTGAAATTATGCTAATTTCAATCACCCTCATCCTTCTTTTTAATTTTGAAAAAAACATCTCACACGTCTTTCTGTTTCTTCGAAACTTCAAAATTAGTTTCCCGTCAGTTTTTACTTTTTACCTTGTTTTGTTTTAGAGAGAAAAACGGAGAAAAAAACCTTAGAACTAACCTCAATAAATTTTGTTTACATGCCGTTGCCGGATTTGCGACCATAGCGCGAATCGCCATGGCGCGTTGCACCCGAGAAGCAAAGTTTGAAGCAGTAGAACGCCACTATATCAAAATATATCAATCTAATTTTTAGTTATGTTACATGAAATCTATCCCCATTTAACATATGTAAAAATTGAGGTTAAGAAGTGTTAAGCTTTTGCAAACGAAACGGCGAAAGACGATTAGATGATATTTAGGGGAAGGAGGAGGTATTCAACACTTTCAAATGAAACTCAAATTTTGGCTTTATACGACCAACAAATTTGACTTATAGGCATACAGACACAAACATATGAAACTGTTTATTGATATTGCTATGGAACGAATTTATCTGTGTAACATTGTAGCCTGAAATTACAAAAAGAAAATAGGATTTCCGGTTTGCAAAAAAGAAAATGTCGCCGGCCTCCAAGCGCACCGGAAGCGCGGAAAGAGCGCTCGTGCCAGTCCTACTCCGCATCACTCATTAAATGAAGAGCGGAGCGCTCGTTTCACCGCCCAACATTTATCCGCCCGGGCTAAAACTTACCACAAAGCCGTTTACAGGTCGTACACTTCGCAGCCTTCTGATCCAGATGCAAAATATTGGCTTGCAACGTTCGGGATGCGCAGAAAGCAAAGAGACACGGCAGTCTTCACTTTTACTATTGGCTTTCTCTCCTCCCCTAGTTTTTCGCTTTTCTTGCCTCTTTTTTTTCTTTCGCTGGAGATTTAGTAGACTTCATTTCGCTGGGAAACGTTTTTGGGAAAGCTTTGAGGATTTTAGGATTAGAGGAAGAAAAGGCAGGTCAGTAGTGGAACAAGATTTTCGTGGAAATTTTCTGGTCAATGTTACATGGTTTTTTGCATTGTTCTCCGTTTGGTATGCTTTGAAAGACCTCTTTACTCTGCACAGGTTAGTGGACAAAGTTGTCCTTGACCATTAAAACTGATGATGTCACAAGCGGGGGAAGGGACGTGAATCCACACCAGCAGTTACGGGTGGTTCAGGGTTAGGTTCAGGGGCGAATGGGTTAATGTTTTTTATCAGCGCTTTCGTTATTTAGGAAATACCGTAAAATTCCGAAAATAAGCCCCGGGGCTTATATTTTTCAAAGGCCCTTTTTGAGGGGCTTATTTTTGGAGGGGCTTATATTCGAAGGGGCTTGTCTACGGAGGGGAATGTACGTTTCAAAATCGATTGGGCAAGCCTTATAGTTGGAAGGAAATTTACCGTTTTTGCTTTGTTTTACTTTGTATTTGAGGGCAATTTCCAAGTACAAGCCCCCGGGGGAGCTTATATTTGGAGGGGCAATTTAACGGAGCGTTTTTTGCGTTATGAGTTTGGGGGGCTTATATTTGGAGGGGCTTATACATGGAGGGGCTTATTTTCGGAATTTTACGGTAATTTTCCTTACTGGAATTGGAATGATCAATTGTCTCTTTTTCTGATCTGTACTGTTTTCTTTTCAAATAAAGTCTCGTTTGTAGTGACGAATGTTGATTACTGACACTTGATAAGACAAAAGGAAAAGTTCACACACAAAGCGACTGTTGGCTTCGGTTGTTTTCGCTGTAACAAATGTGCAAGGTATTTTTTCTCCTTTTCCAGAGACATTTCTCGTAATTATTCTTTTTAAATTTTTTTTAGTTTAAGAAGTGCAGAACTTCTTGGCGTCTAAAGATTAACAAACACAAATCTCTCACGCAAGGCGACTGACTTGAGTTGTTTTCACTAATACATGTACGAGAAACAGCACGCTTGCTTTTAAGAATTACTTTTTGGAGTTTTGGAACCACAAAACTTCTTAACGTGTCAAATCCTGACAATGAATTTTTTTTTGAGCGAACGCAAATCAGGTCAGAAGCATCCTCGGAGACCCAGGGGCAGATAGTGGGGACGAGGGAAAGTCTAAACGGGCGGAAAAATGTGGCACGAAGAAAAGTAAAGAACGGCGAGAAGAGCCCCTGGGGACGATGTCTTACCAGACCAGTTCCAAACGGTCGCCACCGTTCTGGCTTCTGATTGGTGCCAGAAAAACACAAGTTTTCTGGCACCAATCAGAAGCTAGAACGGGGGCGACCGTTTGGAACTAGTCTGGTAAGACATTGTCCCCAGGGGCTCTTCTCGCCATTCTTTACTTTTTTTCGTTCCGTATATATTTTTCCGCCCGTTTAGACTTTCCCTCGCCCCCTTTATCTGCCCCTGGGTCTCCGAGGATGGGTCAGAAGCAGCAAGCCCCATTACAACCGACGGTATTCCTTTGAAGTTTGTATCCACTGGGAATCTGACATCTGCTGACAGGTTGACATTCTGTTGGTCAATCAGGAATGCTGTTCAAAAAGCGGACACTGGTTCAGAAACCTCAAGGGGCTGATTGCAGGTGGTTTTTCTCACTGCCTTCTCCCCTCACCCCACTCCGCCATCGTTTTCTTTTTCGTCCTCGGATCAGCTTTCGCGCGGTTGTATCTCTTACTTTACAAAGCACAAAAGAAAAAACACACCAAAAAAAATGCTAGCTACGTACGCAGGCTATGTTTGTGGGAAATTACTTCAACCCCATACTACGGTACCCCAGCTTCCTCCCCCTTGCAGTTATACGCCAGTCGGCCATCGCTGCTTTACGAGTTGAAACGAGCAGGCCATTAGAGGGTACCCTTCCAAAATTACATTTTTTAATACATGTATGTCTTCAGTTTAATTGTGCCAAAATATATAACGCATTTCAATAAAAAAAATCAATCAGTTGAATCGTGATAAATGATCCTGTAAAAGTATTAAAACACAACAGGTCTGATGGGGGGGAAGGGGAGAGGGGGGTCCAGACCATATTAGTGGTCCATAAAACAAGCGCTTCGCTCAAGTGCGTCACATTTGTTCAGATGCAGAGTGGAGACGTAAACTCTAACCGTCCCTCCCTCCCTCCCTATGTTCTAGTTTAGTGTAAAAATGCATAGTGTAACCTGTCACTGCATGAGCCACCCAACAATCTGGAAAGAAAGGTACGACATGTAGTTGTTTTAAGGAAGTTCAAAGTGCATTGTTCTTTCAAGCAGAGTATTCTTCTGCAGTCACTGACCTTTCTCTTACTCTTACTATGGCTTCCATTGACTTCGCATCAAATTTAAGGATGTCAACATTAAGGGCAGCACCAATCTGTTTTGTTAAATGATCATTAACAGATATATGAACTTTTATACGTGTGCACTCTATCGGTACTTATACTTAATTACTAGGTCTATAATTACCCCTCATCTCACTCTCTAACTACATTGTGTATTATAAATTAGTTAATCTATGGTCATTATTCTAACGTGAGCAGATGAAATCCTCTACATAAACAGACAAACACATGCTCTCTTTCTAATTTGAACTAAATGAACACATAGTGTATACATAAACTCATCTAGTGAGAAGCTAGGAATAAAAAAATTGTTGCTATTAGCCTGGTACCTTGCCATGTAAAGAATCAAGAGCCTGCAATAGAATGCTCTTAAATGTCACTGCCTCAACATGAATTGGAGGAAGATCTGTTTCTTTAGCTATCTCCCTAAAATGAAAACAAAATAAAACTAATAATACCATAATGTTCTGCCCATACTCCCATGGCTTATAACCACCTTAAATTCCACAGGTTGAAAGAACTGGGCGCGCCTCAATTATTCTTCGAGCACAGCCTTGCATAGCTGGAATTTTTGTACGCTTGTGTGCCTTATTCAGAAAAAATGCTTTGACTGCCAATCAGGTGGATCACAAGGCACTGGCTTTTAAGGGGATTCCCTAAAGACATGTTTCTACAGGAAAATTTTACAATTTTGTTAGGGCATTAGACAAAGTTTTATGTGCAAAAGAGGTGACTTGAGTTTTAGTTTTAAGCATCAGAACTCATTTATGCTCACTTGACAAAATATTTATTGCAAATATTTAAAGAGACTTTTTTGCGCTAATAGGCTAAAGCCTATCAACAAGTTCAACCTTTGGCAGTTTGCTCAATGGCTTTAGAACCTATTTTTTTCTCACAAGTCCCACTGAAATGAAAATGATGGAACATTATTTACTTCATGAAATAGCTCTTTTGCAAGTGAAAACCAGCTACAACCTGTGTCAAATTAAGTTGGGACATCCCGTGCCGTACCCATATTCCGACAAAAAGCTGTGCTTCTTTCCTCCAAGTGTTGAATTTTTTGGCTTCCATGATGCCAACTCGCAAAAAACAATGTTGAGGGGGCAGGAAATATCACCACTGTCCCAAGTAATGTGACGAGTATTGTGTTTTAAAGGCATTTGGAGTATGTTGTCTGATCAGAGGGAAGAGGGGGGAAAATAGCACAAACTGTGAAGTAGTTGTCGGTGGCAATTTATCAGAGGAAAAGCTTACAAGGGAAAAGCTAAATAATAGAATGTTTTCCACCTCTGCTGACCTTTGCCTGTGTTTATTAATAGTGCAGAAACTATAATACTCTTTTTCGAAAGTCTGGTGGTTTTCATTCCTTTCTGAATCAGTAAAGGTACAACAAGAAATAATGACACAAAAAAATTCTAATTTCCGTGCTAATGCTTACATTCTGTGTTTTTTAATGAAATATTAGTATGTGGAAATGCATGTTTCTAAAAGTGGTATACAGAACATACCAAACAGTAAGGACACTGATCTATTAAATTATTGATAAACAGCGAGCCTGTGTACAGACGCCCCCTTCCGCTCAGAAAAAATCAGGGAGAGAGACATCTGTGAATTGTTGTTGTTAATCGTGTTCCCGTTTCCCTGGAATGTGGAGTAGGGGGATGTCTGCACACAGACTAATAAGCAGCTAAAAACTAATAGTTGTTTATCGCCTTTAGATTTTATCTTTGTGACCGGTTGTCTTTTGTACCGATGTAATTCGAATATAAATGGCTAAAAGAAAATAACTACTACCAGCGACCAGTCAGCATTTGTTGACCAGATTCTGTACAAATCTACATTACCAGTACGGAACTTTTGGGGCCAAATCGTAGACGTTTCTCCTGCCAAACGTCCCCAGTGGCAAGGAGCTAGGAGAGACGGACACCTGTATTCACAGGCTATTTGCACAATGGAGGGCACAAATTAAACTTTTGGGTAGTTTCTTGGTGTTGCGGACGGTTGCAATCACTAACAAGGTAATACGAAAGATTGAAAAGACACTGAAAAACACCCACATCACAACACAATACCAGTAGCTAGCTAATCAACAATAGTTTCCGCAACACCAAGAAATACGTACCTAGGCTTAACTTGTCATACAAACATCTACAGGTGGTTTTCACAGTGACGTCATCAAATTGTGAAGTCAAAATAGCAAGGTTTTACAAATTCTCATTTAGGCAAGGTTGAAAATAAACAAAAAATAAATCCTTGCACAAGGTTCAAGTCCCGTGGCATGCTTCACTTCACAACTACCGCAATTTGAACTTCTGAGTTTTCACAGTGTGTGACACAAAATACGAATGCCATCTCGTCGAAAAAAGAGCCTCTCCTCTTGATTTTCAGCAGTTAATCATTTTAAGTATTAGAAGATCTGTTTATGTGCACCTAGCTTGTTGCTAGCTCTCGAGAGAAAGGAAAGAGCTTTTACAGAAAAAGATAACTCCAGATATTTTTGTTGATTTCCGGCGGCCATATTTGTGTACCAAAACTGTACACACGTATGGCGTCTACATTCTTGGAAAGCGATTTCAAAATATGTAACACTGAAGATGACGGATGTACTGTTGAAACATGTATGGAAAATTAAATAAAGTTGTTATGTTTATGCCGGGTGTTTATGTGGCTATCCATATTGTTGCTGCTATCTAGACGAACTGGTAAAGCTCTAATGATGCGTGAGATGTTTTGCCAAATAACTCAGAAACTGTGGGCCACATAGACCTGAGACTTGGACAAATTGTCCTTTTGTAACATTTCATCTTCTTGGCTTCCTCCCCTGGACGGTTTCCAATTTATTTCTTTGGGCCGTGTTTATTAATTATCTGTAATTATTCAGCCTGAATTATTGCGTTTCACGACTTGGCGGAATCAAACTAATAAACCTCGAAAACAAACCTTAGAAGACGCAAACTTGATATTTACTTACAGTTTTACTCTCAAGTAAAAGAATTGTGCTGTTTGTGCCAAGGTTATTTTCTCCATTTGCGCTCTATGAAGAGTAAGAAGAAAATTCATCAGGCGGCCGCCATTGTGATACGATGAGCCCGCGTTTTTTATCCGAAGGACCGCACTCTTTAAGGTAACCATGGTAATATTCTTGACTTTCTAACATGGCGGACAGCGAAAAGGCAAGCTCTATAGTAAACGTTCAAATTTCAACTTTCTGCATCACATTCTGACGTGTCTTTTATTGTTTAAAGGAAGTGGACGAGCAGCTGAAGAGATGCGGCATAACAAAAGATAAAGATGTATCGGAACTTTACTTGGCAAACAGGCAAGTTTTTGTGTCTTGTCCACATGTAGTTCAGCTAGAAAATTGCTAAAACTGTTGAAAGATAGAGCTCCTTTACGCTGCACCTCACTTAACAATAAGAGGTTATGTTTCTTGTGTTTTATGCAGAGGTCTCGAGGAGGTAAAAGACTTTGAGAAATATAGAAATTTGCAAATTGTGTGGTTGAATGGAAATAAGGTAAGCAGTGATCGAAGGCTGTCACTTCAGAAGCTTCTTTAATAATTGTAGTAGGGTGGGTAAACAGTACAGTCCGGAAGGGACTTCGTTCCCAGGGTTCTCTTCAACTCATCCCTTGCTCCGTAAGGACAAGTAGCCGAGCCGTAAGGACGAGTAGCCCTGGTTAGCTCAGTTGGGAGAGCGACGGTCTGCTGAGCAGGAGGTTGCGAGTTCAAACCCCAGCTGGACCAACACTCAGGGTCTTTGAATAACTGAGAAGAAAGTGCTGCCTTTGTAATGACAACTGCAAATGGTTAGACTTTCCAGTCTTCTCGGATAAGGATGAAAAACCGTAGGTCCCATCTTACAGCACTTACACTGATCTGTTCTTGTGGGATGTTAAAGAACCCACACTGTTCAAAAAGAGTACGGGACATACTCTTGGAGTACAGTGCTACATGTACCTCCCATTGATCCTTTTCAAGAGATTATATGAATAATTTATAGTGGGTATCTGGATATCGTGGACAATACCCACTGATGCATCATTTTTTAGTTTTGACATGATAACAAATGCAGGTGAAGTCATTTTATTTGATTGAAGAAAAAGTTGAATTAATGATTGTGTCTTGTTCAATAATGCAAAATTAAAGTGACTCTCAAATCCAAAATTTTTCCAAAATTGCAAAATTTAAGTGTCGCAAAATATGCAAACCATCAAAGCATAAAATTAATGTGTTGCAAAAATTTCATATAATGAGTTAATAAAAATTTTCCTTTTGTGTCTTAACCCTGATAATTTATTTTCCACTAATTAGGGTCAGAGGAAATCCAGAGTTAAACTACGCTGAAAAATTTCAACCTTGATTTAATTTTGTCCTACAACAATTTCAGACCAAGAAGTAATTTCTTGTTTACCTCATACTGGTTACAGGGTAATAATTAAGAGCGGATGTCTGTAAATATCAACCAGAGGTTGGAAAAATAAAATTTTTGAAAAATCCCCCGAAAAATTATGTAGACTACCCTGGGTATTCTAGTTATGAAAATATAAATTTTAGTTTCATTGGATAAATATTTTGGCGATACGGCGAATGCCAATTTCGGGTGATTGACGGCCTCCTCCATACCGCTTTTTCGGGCCTCTAGACCGGGCTACAAAAAGACCACAATTTCAATTGAATTCAAGTATCATGCAACCCAAAAGCTTCTTATCGTATTAAACGGGTTTTAATACACATTTTGAGTGGTCATGTTCTTGAATTGATTGCAACTGGAATATTTTATGAATTTTTAAATATTTACAAAATTTTAAAGATTTTACGGTAGCAAAATATTGTCAAATTTCAAAGGCCTAAAATCACATCCGATACATAATTTTAAACAGAAAAAGACATTCCACATTAAAAAGCAATCTCTAAGCTTTCAAAATATGTTTTCAAAACTCTGGGCAACATATGAAATGAATTTTTGGGAACGCAAAGTTCACGGAGCATTTAAGTGTAATTTGACCTTTCTGACTTGACAGATAAGAGGTTCGGAGCGACACAAATCAATCCTCCAACAAATGTTTCAGCCAAAATACGTTTAATTTAAGCAATCTCAAGTCCCACAGTGATACATAGATGTCTTATATACTTTAGGTGGAAAGTTTCACACCATTTTCTTCAGCCGTGAATGAAGAACTCTTACCCTAGCCTTCAGGTGCATTATTTGAACTCGCCTCGTCAATGTAAGCATTTGGGTCAATTGAAGTTCTTAGCCGAAACAGCAAAGTTTTCAAAATCTACACCAATTATCTATCCTTTCTAGTATATAAATATAATCAGGTCTACAATTTGTTTGTTTGTACCTAATGTGTCCTTGTTTGACTTCATTTCTACAATGAAACTGAGACAAACCACAGCGAAATTCCCGCTCTCTCGACATGTCACTTGCGACGTGAAAGAGCCGTTTTAGACTCGATCGCATTACGTAAACATGACGCAGTGATTATTTCTGATTGTGTGAAAAAAAATTCAATCTCTAACCTACATGTTATAGGTATGCCATTGAATGAGCAGACAATTTCATTTTTTTTCTTACCATGCAGTTTTACCGATAGCAGGCTTGTGATCCCCAAGCGTGTCTATTAAACCGCGATTCTTTCTTGTTTTTGTTGATAGATCTGTCAGCTTAGGAAATCACCTAATAAGTTTCGCAGTTATTCTGCAACACGCTATTATGGCCTATCATGTACAAAGAGTTTATATAGTAAAAAAGCACGAGTTAGAAAATCGTGCTACCCATGTATCTTGCCCTTGCGACACCAATTCTTTGATAGTGCACTCTCCATGGTCTAAGCGACCGTAAAATTCCAAAAATAAGCCCTGGGGCTTATATTTTCCAAAGGCCCTTTTTTGGAGGGGCTTATCTGTGGACGGATATTTGCGTTTCAAAATCGATTGGGCTAGCCTGGAATTAAATGTACCGTTTTTGCTTTGTTGTACTTTGTATTTGAGGGCAATTTTCCAAGTACAAGCCCCCGGGGGGCTTATATTTGGAGGGGCGATTTAACGGAGGGTTTTTTGCGTTACCGATTTGAGGGGCTTATATTTGGAGTGGCTTATACATGGTGGGTCTTATTTTCGGAATTTTACGGTAGTACACTTGTACTTACTGTACGACGATATTTACAGCATGCGAATATGGATAACTAGTTTTAGGCGATTTTTGGTACAAGTACCAAATACACGAGCGTAGAGTACAGGTTCGCATCGGGAGTTCAACACCGCCGGCAGGCAAGGTACATTTTAAATCTTACTTTAAGCTGTCCACCAATTGCACTTTTGTGGCCATAAGGCAGGTAAAAATTATGATAAAAATACCTGTTATCTCCAACGCTGTTTTATCTTTAATGAATGGGGTTCAAAAGCGTGGGACGGTTGTTTGCAAGGTAACCCTATAAATGTATTACACTCTATAATGCGTTTCTGACTATTATTATTATTACTACTATTATTATTATTATTATTATTATTATCATTATTATTATGAAACAAAGTATTAAATATATTATTATTATCGTTATTATTGTAATCCAACTCAAGCAGTTAGCAAGGGTGGCAGAGTTGGTTTAGTGTGTGGCCCTCGGTGCGCGAGGTCCCGAGTTCGACCCCCGGTGACATCACATCCTTGTTTCAACTTCTCTCCTTTCTGTGTAGCTTTGACTAGATATAAATGCCCTTAAAACGGAGCATTGATGGAGAGAGAGAGGGAGGGAGAGGGGGGGATAAAATATGCGCACCGTCGACCTCAAGTTGATCAGTTATTACTGTCATGAGTTATCGACATTAAATATGGTTGCTTTACCCTTTTTTTTAGAAATTATGAAGCGGACGCTGTTTGGCTTAGCCTACACAGCATTCTAGGCCGCGCAAGGAAAATACGCGAATGGGAGGAGAGAACTCCTCTTCTTTTCTCTCATCGTGCGTCTTCGACATTTCCTCTTTCGCCCTGGTATGTTGCAGAATTGACTGTAAAGTGGCGCTCAACCGATCGGTTGCTCTCTCCTATGCGCACGTACTGTGTGCTCGGTTATTGTGTAATTTTCGGTCCTAGGATTTTTTTTTTGGCTTCCTAGGGAAACTGATAAGTCTGTGCTAATAAAACTGCATGGTAAAAAACAAAAAAAAAAAATGAGATTGTCTGCTCATTCAATGGCATACCTATAACATGTAGGTTAGAGATGGAATTTTTTTTCACACAATCAGAAATAATCACTGTGTCATGTTTACATAATGCAATCGAGTCTAAAACTGCTCTTTCACGTGGCACGTGCCATGTTGAGCGAGCGGGAATTTCGCTGTGGTTTGTCTCAATTTCATTGCAGAAATGAAGTCAAACAAGGACACATTAGGTACAAACAAACAAATTGTAGACCTGATTATATTTATATACTAGAAAGGATAGATAATTGGTGTAGATTTTCAAAACTTTGCTGTTTCAGCTAAGAACTTTAATTGACCCAAATGTTTACATTGGCGAGGCGAGTTCAAATAATGCACCTGAAGGCTAGGGTAAGATTTCTTCATTCACGGCTGAAAAAAGTGGTGTGAAACTTTCCACCTAATGTTTATAAGACATCTATGTATCACTGTAGGACTTGAGATTTCTTAAATTAAACGTATTTTGGCTGAAACATTTGTTGGAGGATTGATTTGTGTCGCTCCGAACCTCTTATCTGTCAAGTCAGAAAGGTCAAATTACACTTAAATGCTCTGTGAACTTTGCGTTCCCAAAAATTCATTTCATATGTTGCCCAGAGTTTTGAAAGCATATTTTGAAAGCTTAGAGATTGCTTTTTAATGTGAAATGTCTTTTTCTGCTTAAAATCATGTATCGGGTGTGATTTTAGGCCTTTGAAATTTGACAATATTTTGCTAGCGTAAAATCTTTAAAATTTTGTAAATATTTAAAAATTCATAAAATATTCCAGTTGCAATCAATTCAAGAACATGACCACTCGAAACGTGTATTAAAACCCGTTTAATACGATAAGAAGCTTTTTGGGTTGCATGATACCTGAATTCGATTGAAATCGTGGTCTTTTTGTAGCCACGTCTAGAGGCCCGAAAAAGCGGTATGGAGGAGGCCGTCAATCGCCCGAAATTGGCATTCGCCGTATCGCCAAAATATTTACCCAATGAAACTAAAATTTATATTTTCATAACTAGAATACCCAGGGTAGTCTACATAATTTTTGGGGGGTTTTTCAAAAATTTTATTTTTCCCACCTCTGGTCGATATTTACAGACATCTGCTCTTAAACATTCTAACTTTTTAATTAACACACTGTATCTCTTCTTTGTGTATTGTTACAGATAAGAAAATTGACATGCTTTAGTTCAAACTATCAACTACGAGAGCTGTATTTGCAAGATAACTTGATGATGGAGCTAAATGGTTGTTTAAAGCACTTGACTTGTCTTCAGGTGTTGCTACTAAATGGAAATCAGTTGTTAAAACTTACTGATGTTGTTCATGAATTGAGAGCCATGCAGTGCCTCAAAAAACTTAGTAAGTGCAATGTCATTTGCTTTGGTGCTTCTAATAAGGTTAGTATTGATCAAGGATGATTTTGTGACAGTTACTAGTTTTGGGGGGGCTTGGTACAATGCTGACATTTTTTTGAGTGTTAATAAACTGGTTTTCCAGTACATACACTAGCTGGCCTTGAAGCCTGTGTGGCTGCCATTCAGGCTTTTGACCATGATAGAAATTTTACCTTGAAGCTCAAGACTGTTTAGAACTGGAAGTATCTGGAATTCTGTCCCCTATTGTGTAAAACACTGCATGTAATGACCCTTGATGCATATTAACAACTTAAACTTTATAGTTGGTGACAAACAGTTCAACATTTTGTTGATCGACAGATTTTTCCCATTCTCATTGTTAAGCACCAAGTTGCAAAATGTTGAACAGAGTACGTAGAACCCATCTCTACATTTATTTCTTCTTAACATGTGGACTATGGTCTAATTTAAAATTCAGCAGGGTGTCATGAACAAGCGTAGCTGTAACATTTGTTGATCAACAAAATGTTCCAGTGTGTGTATCTTCAACTCTAAGAGTACTGATAACTTTTTTTAAAATACATGTACCTCTACCTGTAAGCTGCTTTTGCACTAATATTGTAAAATATTTTCATAGATCTTTTTGGTAATCCATTGGCTCAAGAATATGACTACAGATCTTACGTAGTACATCATCTTCCCTCTGTTGAGTTACTGGATAGGAAAGGTGTGCAATAAACAGAATATAGTGTAAATTGTCTTTCTTCCATTTTTAAACTTCTTTGACTAGTTATCAGTCAAGTTATCAGTGTAATAGCCAGCTGTAAATAATTTATAAATTCTTTAAACTGGGGCAACGTCAGAAAAAAAACTCTTTTAATGTACAATCAACTCCCTTTACAGCAGACACTTTAGGGAGCTCAAATTAGTTCCTTATTAGCCAGAGTCTGTAATAAATAAGGAGTTTATTTCAGTCAAATGTCTATAATTTAATTTTACCTGGGATTTAGTTGCTGTCCATACATGTATTTCTTTCCCCATGCTGGCAGCCATGCTTGTTTTCCAGTCTCAGTCCAAAATCATCTTATTTACCATAATGATCTACTGGATGCCTCCTCAAATAAATGCCTCCCATACGCTTTTAAGTTTGTATTAGACACCCTTCTCTAATTAGTGCCCCCTTTCTCATAGACACTTCAATGACAATTACCCAAAAATACCAGGAAATAGCAAAAAGGAGCATAATCATGCCATTTACACTGTAGTCATTAATTCTTGCTTGATTAACAAAGGTTTGAACATTACATATTTTTCAATGTCAAGTTCAAAGAAAGGATAGGTTAATGATGACAGGTTAATGACCCTTAATAAGGATTCAGGCATCGAGGTTGAATAGTTTTGCATGTTGAGCTTGCTACAGTTATCAGAATAAACGTCCCTCATATGTATCATTTTCGGTACTCATTTTCATGTTTTCATCTCAAATTTGACGTTACCTTAACACATGTTAATACTTACTTGATATCTTCACTGAATGTCAAAATAATTTGTTTTTTTGGAACGTTTAGAAATAACTAAAGAAGAAAGGGACAAGGCTCGAAAAAAATATGAGCCAGAAAGAGAAAAGGTAAAAGAGTCTGTGGCATTTGGTCGGAGAGCAGATGGTCCACCAAAGAGAGTCTACGCTCCTCCGCCTTCTGCAACATTTGAAAGCTTGGGTTTTGATCAAGGTAGGTAACGTTAGTTGTCTCTCTTGATGATTGAAAAAAATACCTTTTTTTTATTTTATTACCTTCGCCTATTACACGAAACAGAGAGAAAAAGAAAAAATAAAGGATAATGAAGATAAACTGAAACAAAGAATGATAAATGCTTAATTAGGGATATCACAACAGCGGTAAGCCAATTACAGTGGTCCCAGAGTTCAAAAAATATTTTAATAAAACAAACACTAAAGCAACAAGATTGGACAAGATTATAACGATTAAAAAAAACGACGAAGATGGACAGACACATTACGTGAAATTTTACATAGTGGACAGATGGATCGTGGGTCCTTTGGGTCGTAATTATGTTCTAAGGCGTCTACATAGTACTTACCAGTATACTCGATGGATTTGAATTGACTGATCTGAAGGTTGCATGAAAGTTGAAGGTCGTTTGTTAAGGTGTTCCAGATTCTAGCGTTTCTATTAAAAAAGATCTCTGAAAGGTGACAGTATTACATCTCCCTGAAATAAAGTGAGTGAGTAACATTAGGGTTACTGTTAGATCTGGTAGTGCGAGTAACTAAAACTTGAGGAAGAACAGAAGGACTATCTTTAACTGTGCCAGTTACAACTTTGAAGAAGAAAATCGTCTAAAAACTTGTGCTAATAGGAGATAGCTAATAAGTTAAGTTTCGTGAGCCTGTCCCTATCTGTTTTGTCACAAATAAATGGAAGATCCAGAATATACTTTGTATTGCGCCTCTCGACGCACTCGAGGTTTCGAATCAGATCTTTAGACTGCAGAGTCCAGACTTGCGTAACATAGCCAAGAGAGGATCTTACTAGGGTGAGGTATGCCGAGCGTCTAACCGTAATGCTTTTGACGAGTCTAGTGTAATCCCGGGGGAGGGGTACTTTAGGAATTTCTGGGTGGGGATGTGCCGCTGGGACCCTGGAACCCTTAACCTATACTAGAGCTAGTTCAGCTGAATTTTGCTACCCTATACTAGAGTAAACTCCCCAAATCCCCCTATCCTAGAGTAGCTGTTTACCTAGTCTAGATAAAATCTTCAACCAACTGATCAGTTTCCTGAAAAATGACACCCTATTCTAGACCCAAACGCTCTGATTTATATACCCTATCCTAGAGTAAACTGCTTGAAAACCATACCCTTCACAGCGGCACATACCTATATAGCCCATATATGGCAGTAACCCCCTCCCCCGGATTGTAATATAACGCTGAACCTGTGTGAATTATAATAAAGATTACCAAGAAGGAAATCAAAAAAATTATTGTAACTTTTCAGTGCTTGTGATGTAACAAAAATTTGTGATCTTAAAAGATCAGTTTCTGTGTAATAAGCTTGTAAGAAGCAGTTATTTGACCACATCACGTATTTTAACGTAGTACGTATGGACGTAGATGCAAAAGTCTTACATGTAGACGTCCGCATAATAGGTTGCTTTTGACTTTCAGCCTAGACAGATGCTTGCCTTCGAATACAGTTGCCTCTCCTCGCTCCTCGACTGGCGGCGAGGAGCGAGGAGGAACGGCTGTATTTGCAGGCTTGGCAGATGCTTTATCTATTTTAAACCCATCTGTTCCCATGGTCACATTAAGAAGTCTTTAAGATGTTTATGCCTGTCGTCCTTCTCAAAATGTCACTTTAGGTGACTTTACATCTTTGAACTATTTCCTTTTATTTTACGTAGAGGGCTAGTTCGGCATTTTTTGACTGATGCATGGGTTTTTTTTGTGATTCAGATGATCAGGACGAGCAGGAAAGTAGAATATCTGAGAGCATCACAAGGTTGGTATTACAGCTCCTAAGCTGGATAATTGTGCCTGTTTCTGCTGTTGTATGAACACTTTAGTTTACTTAAGGTACGGAAAAACAAGCGACAAAAAACATGCAACTTAGTTTTCCAACATTGCTGCAAAACGAGTTGAAAAGCGACGTTGCGTGTTTTCCCACCCACGTTCAAACTTGTCAACAACCTGAATGGGTGCCAGACATGTTTGACGAGGGTGGTAAAACGTTCAATGTCGCTTTGCAATTCGTTTTGCAGCAATGTTGCAAACAAGTTGCACGTTTTTGTCACCCGTTTTTCCGTACCTTTAGTACCCGTTAGATTTTCTGATTGAGTAGATTCACAATCAACTAGCAGTTATAGCTGCCCCATACTGACTAGCCAACTTTGACAAAATTGCCTAGCACAGTAAGAATGCCGTCGACAAGCTTGGCGCGGGTGTGATAACACGATAACAGTGTTATAACTTGAAATTTGAAGAACATTGCATTCATGACTTTTATACGCGTGCACATTGCATGGAAATCAAAATCGCAACAATGACAACAAGCTCACCTTTTGCCTCCCGTCCATAAGTACCAAACATTAAGGATTCCAGACTAACTCGAAATAAAAGCCAGCCGGTCTCACTCTGTGAGCACATTTAACTTACTAAGAGTGGAGCATCGAAAAAGGTTCCACACTAGAGCTGACACGAGCGAAAGCAAAAAGATGAGGGCGTCACCACGTGAGTACTCGCGTTGAAGCGAGGCTAATACTGAAACCGAGGCAAATGTGTGCTAAATCATTCCTTTAGATTGGGATTTCTTTCTCTTTCGTCGAACGCATCAATAGATGTGAATTTTGTCCAGTTTGCCATTTCGCATTAGAAACGTTAGGTGATGGTAAAGAACACCGCAAAATGATAGCTTGACTTGTAACAAGTATGAACTTGTTTGGCAGTGATAATGGAAACGTTCTGGAGGAAGCTATTAAAAGACGTGGACTTCAGCGCTCAGTCATGCAGTACTCTACATTTGATTGGTCATCAATACCTCTGTCCCAAGAAAGAAGACTTGCACCAGAAAGTATCCCAGATCAACCGCGAATACTTACAGTTCGCTTTAGGTAGACAGGACTTCTTGCGCTTCCCAGGCCATATCTCAGTGCTACTTAGTGCAATTACTGCCGTCCGTGTTTTCAGAATAGAAGCCTCAGAGAGAAATTGGATGCTTTGTAAAAATGTACAAAAGTATTTTAAATATTTTTTGCAATGGCTGGATCAAATAATGTAAGTACTTATGATTTGTATGCTTAGATTTTTCGATCACTTTAATCACCTGGAGAGGCCTTATAACAGAAGATCATGAGATTTGTTAAGAATGACAAAGGAGCTGATAACCGTAATAGGTGGTCGTATGTTAAATGGTCTGAAACTTTGACAGTAGGTGTCATGATACTATTTACAGTTTACTGTAACATACAGACCTTGTACATCAAACGCATCAGATGGGAGACTTTTCCACATACGTACATTGCATCAGTACAACGGCCAAAAAAGTGTAGTTATAAGGATCGACAAGTGTTGGTTAAAGCCTGTATGTCTTTTATGTTCTAAAAGAGTCAAAAGGTCTGTCAGTGCTTCTCTCTTAATTGCGGCAATGACCACTTCTGACAGTATGCAAAAAATCTCCAAAATATTCCGTAAGTGAGGCTTTTGATAGCATCGTCAGATACGTTAATGAATACAAGAAAGGAAAAGCAAAGGTAAATTACCAGTTCTGATAGTCACACGGTCCAGACCGCGAATGACCTGGACCTACGAAGAATCAGGCTTAAGGTAGATAGAATTTGAAAGAAATGTGAAAATTCGACGAAGAATTATAAAGGACGTATAAAATAAAACAGTTCCTCATAACAAGTTTTGCCTTGGGTTTATCTTTTTGAAAATTGATTCAGTAGTTTAAATTACTAGAATTATCGCCATTACCGTACGTCCTTCAGGGGCACCCTTTGCTGCTTCGCGAGCATTCATATGAGACAGAAATAACAAAACAGCAAAGACAAAAGCCACGTGAGGTTTCCCGATGTTTCGGACGAACAAGCCGTCCTTCTTTAGCGAATTTAATGAAGAATTGTAAAGTGGTTACAATTTGCCGTTATTTTATATAAATGATTGATATGAGAGCAAAAAGAAGAAAACAAAAGGAAGTGACAAACGTTAATAAAATAAATACAAGAGACCTCCAACGTAGATACAAGTGCATGATGCGTCAACGGCGATAGTTACTTACTAGTAGCACGATTCCGTCGATCCAGCCTCAAACTGATATTCAAACAAAATGAGGTGGCTCAGAAATGTTCGAATACAACATTTACTACTGGTTTGTGGTAATTAAAATAAATATAATTTTCATCCTCCCGTTGCTAATATTGAAGAAGTTTTAGGAGCAATATGCAGTGGCGGATCCAGACCTTCAGATAAGGGAGGGGGAGGGGGAGGGGGAGGGGGGGCGGTCATCCATACCCCGAGATAAAGGGGGAGCCCGGTCTCAAATATTTTTTTTTCGGCTCTTCGGGCCTCAGTTTGGTCTAAAAATAAGGGGGGCGGGGAGGAGCCCGGACCCCTTCCCTTGATCCGCCACTGATATGTACCCTTGACAGGGGCTCATTGAAACCTTTATTGCGAAGAGTTAGTTCCTTGCATTTTGTAGGGTTGTTGGACATGAAATTGTCGACAGACGAACCAACGCAAGAACTGGCCCGCCAATGCTGATGACTAATCCGGGTAACGAACTCTTATTTAACAATTAATGAATGAGGCTGAGTATCTTATTTAACAATTAATGAATGAGGCTGATGCCGTGTTTAGACTTGAGCGTGCTACCGAGGTATTGGAGTTAACTTACCTAGGTAAATATTTTGCGTGTGTAAACGCCAACTGATACCCTGGTAAACACCGCTCAAGACAATAGAAAGTTAACTAAGGTAAAAGTTCGGTTTGCCCTGCGAAAAGGCATGGTTAAGGTCGGTAACCAAGGTTTGGATGACAGATAGATCCGCTTGCGGTCGCATAGAATTTCAAATCCTGTGGTGTCGGGATTGCGTCAGGCTTATTCGATCACGTTTTCGAGACCAGGTTTTCGAGACTAGGTATTCGACCAGGTTTCCACGTTTGGTTGCGGTCTACGAAGAAGTTATGGCAAAAACCAAAGACACATAAGACACACCATTCTTCAACAAAATTTCCGTTTAATAGAGTTTCGAACCAGAATTGGTTTCTCGGCCACGACCACGCACGTCTAACGCGCCTTGTCTTGCGAAGGGCAATTTGTAGCAGAATTAATCGCTTTCGCCTCCACCTCTTTAGGTGCTGCAAAAGTAAGAGCTGCTGCAAACTCGATTCCTGGGTTTGCTGATCAAGAACAAGAAAATAAAACGCGAGGACTACAAGATCCACAGCTTCTCTTTTAAACGCGAGCATTTATGCGTGGATTTAGAATTTGCCGCCAATTCGATTAGATTGTGATTGATGACAGACTTACCTTAGTTATTTGAGCCCGTATAAACACTGTACAAATGTACCAGGGTTTAGTCAGTTAGTGTTTACCTTGGTAAACGCTTGAGTGTAAACACAGCATGAGTATCTTATGAAGAATTATGGAGATCGAGGAACACCTTCTGAGATCTCCATAATTCTTCATGATACGAAAACCGAATTCAATAATTGTTTTATTATCTATTCAAAATAATTCCTTGTTTAAAAACACAGCTAAAACATGCTTACCTCCATCGATGTTAAGTTCATCTTCGATAGACTCATAGTGCACGTTTAGGGTTGTTCAGCTCCGCAAATACTCTCCAAATAGCAGATGTCGCCCCTCGAGTTGTCCTCTTGCTGTTCTTGCCATGTTTTTAGCTATTATTTCGCCTAGTTCTTACTCTTGAAACGAGTGAAATGCCCGCCATCTTTGTTTTCACAACCAAAACAACTCAACCTCGTCCTCAGGTTTTCTCGGTTAACGGTGCATTAACCTGCAAGGAAGCTGCACTTTTGACGTCATCGGTTGATAAATCGCAAAATTCTTCCAAATTTGATGATCAGTAGCTGGTTATGGTAAATTATGCGTGTGCTTTTAGCCAATCCGAATCGGGGAAATATTTTGAATGGATAAAAAGGCCAGTTATTTAAACGGAGTTTAGCCAGTGTTTAACAAAACCGCGTTCTAGGCCAGTTTCAGTTTGCCCAACGCTTTTATCTTGAGTAAAGAATAAGACGTTGACTAGAAAAGCACTTATTTTCTTAAAATAACCCACTAAGGAAGATATCCGAAGGTCCAAATATTTGCGAAAACGCAGCCTAAGTTAGACTTCGTTTAAATAACAGTCCCTGAGGGCCGCGGTTTAACGAATCTTTGGATTTTTAGTCGACGCCATGTGCTATCATGAGACTTTTCACGACAAATGGTGTTAAGATCAAAGCGTTTGGCAAACTGAAAATGGCTTAAAACACGGTTTTGTCACTAAAACTGGCTAAATTCCGTTTAAGTAATTGTCATAACTGGCCCTAAGATTCTGCTAACGGTTAGCGCAAGTAAGCTATTTTCTTTCCTTACTCGGTTTCAAACTGCAATAAAAGCTAGGCGAAGAAAATTAGTAACCTACGCTTTCAAAACTTTCCAGCCGGAGAGGGGTTTTCACAAGTTTTCGAACACCCAGTGAGTCATCTGTTCAGTATTTTTTCACTTTTTTGTCCCCATCCAATCAATTTTTTTGCCTGTGAATGATCAGTAGTTAAACTGCGAAGTAGCTCGCATCCTAGTTCAGAGTACCAACACAAAGGAAAGAGCAACACAAAGGAAAGCTTTCAGAAGCACGCTGCCATTAGTTCAGATATGACTTCTTCACAGTCAAACATGGCAAGTTAAGTTTGAAACAGGACTGGAACCATAGGTGATTCTTTCTTGTGCTCTTTTTTGAGTTTATCAATCTATTAGAAGGATTTCTTACCCAGCTTCGTAAGGCAGATAACGCTATCCACTATATAAATCTCTATCCAGTAGATTACGCAATAGTTTCCCTAATACTTATCCACTTGATAGAGATTTTTCTGTTGGATAGTGCTATCCAACGTTTGAACAATCGGGACCTGATAGACATTTTTTATCCTACCTCTTACAACTAAAGACCCGTCACAATCAAAAGCCGCTATAGTGTGCCTGTTTTCGAGGAAGAGAGAGAACCCTGGGAACGAGGTTGATTTTCGAGCACGCGCTTGTAACGTCAAAACACCCTTCATGACTTTAAATCCGTTCAGAAAAAATACATGAAAAGTTTTGCTTATTGCAGCGCTCTGTCCTATAAATCTGGCAGATAGGGGACTTAGTGAGCAATAATACCAAAGCGCTAAAAAGCAAGATCATTTCTAGCAGACCTCAAGAAGGATCGCTTGTCCACCGTGTAGAACCAGAGACATTAGGACAGAGGTTAGACTTTAAAAGAACGGTTAAAAAAAAAAAAACGGTTCCTGCAGCGATAAAGTCAAGGCTTCCGATCCAGGGCCAGGTTGCATAAAACCGTCTTAAGATAAAAGGGCTCTCAACTTTTGTTCTGGAACAATAACCTCTTGTTTTGACGGAATAGTTACGAGTTCCCTTTATCTTAAGATGTTTTTTTGCAACACGACCCAGGACTCTGCTACAGATATAAGGTAAAATATTTTCACAAATATGATTTTTATTTTTTTTTTTAAATTAAACCTGAGAAAAGTTACAAATTACTTTTAAGAGTGAATTTCTCTTTGGCACTTTTGTGAGTTTACGTTTACACAGTTGTCCGTGTTTCGTGTCCCTAGTAGGATATCGGGGTATGCGGAGCTGACCCCCCCCCCGATAATAAGCTGCTTGGAATTGTTGTTTCCGATATTTTCAGGGATGTATAATGACCTATGTTTCAAGCATTTTTGAAAATTCACTGGCATGTATTTGAGCAAGAGGTTAAAATTATCTTCAGAAAACGATCAGCTGTACATCAGTAAGGCCTTGCAAAGGTTTTCTAAAAACCAAGACAAACGTTCTCTAAATGAACAATTAACATCGATCATGATTACGACAGAGAATAAACTCTACTTTTCTGCTTTGATCTTGTCCTGAGCATCTTATTTTAAGTCGATCGCAACTTACGCTTTTTTAGTTTATGTTGAGTTGAAATAGTTGTAGAATCCGAAGGGACATTACCGCTAGAGCGCGCGCAATCGTGATCTCGCGCTGCACAGATTAAACATGTTGTTTGTGACATCAAATCTTAAACGTTTATGACGAGTTAACATTGCGGCGAAAAGCAAAACACCATATTTCCTGTTTTCTGCAGGAATAAGGAACAACGAAAAGAACAAAACAAAAAGCCATGGTAAAGCCACCAAAAGCGGCACAGCCTTACAAAAACGGTGGCGACCCGTTGCAGAACCAAATGTGACGAGTATGGAGAGGTTTTGCCAGACGGCTTGCAGAGCGCCTTTTTTTAAAATCCGGCAAGTTGTCCTAGGGAGCGCGTAACCCCGGAAACTTTGCGAAGCCAAAAAAAAAAACGAAAAAGGTAGATACTGCTCTCAGCCTGTCGATCGAAAGTTATCAATATGGAACTTTAGAATTCTGGTAAGGGTGAAGGAAATAAAATTCTCAATATGTTATTTAACACCGTTACTTGTGCATAAGAGGGAACTAATCAGCATTCCTTCTAAAATTCACTTTATTTCAGAACCGGTACATAGGCTGAAAGTGGTTTTGTAACGTAACAGGACACAATCCAAGCATGGCGGGGGTTGTGGTCTGTATCATAAGTTGAAACTCAGAGAAGTTATTGCAGCACAGACAAGGCCAAAACTATCGTCACTTTTAGGGGACTGTCGCTCTATAAAGGAAAAAAGTGACTGAATGTACGAGCAAAATGAGGAGTTTATGCGATGTGACGAATGTATAATCTAAACGTAGAATGTAGAAAAAAAAAACATTAGTCTTTAATCTACGGTAAATTTGCTTAAATTCAATCATCGTTCGTGGCTAAAAGATGTATTCAGAAATTTCCAGTATTTTTTTCCTC